TATTTAGAAATATATACTTAATGCAGAAAGAATCGGTATGTCCATGCTGTATTTTCTTGACAGATCAAAAATGGAACTAGAATTATTTAGAAATGTGTACTTTATGCAGAAAGAATCGGTATGTCCATGCTGTAATTTCTGTATAGTGCCCCATGCATGTGTGTAAGTCTATGTCAACGCCTCAAAGATGATGAACAATCTTGAATGCCAAGTGAATTTTGGTATCAGCATTTTTGATTGTTACTTGGTGCCCAAATGCTCCCTTCCCGCTCTCTCTCACTCATAAATCTTCCACTTTCCCTTTGATAGATTTATAACAACCCCATTTCATGAATACAACAATGATTCTGCGCAATATTTCCTTGTTTTTCTTGTTTCACGTATTTTTATTGTGTATGGTCATTGTAATGTGATGAAAGTACACATGAGTGTTCATTCAGTGTGATGTTAATAACTAGAATGCTATTGTGAGACATATTTCACGTACAATCTTGTTTTGAACCAAATTATGAAAAGGTATCATCCAGACAAGAATACCAACAATCCTGAAGCTTCAGAACATTTCAAGGAGGTTGCATTTTCGTATAGCATCTTGTCCGATCCAGAGAAGAGAAGGCAGTACGACAATGCAGGGTTTGAGGTGCTTTTCTAATTTAGCTCACTATTCTATACCATCTCTCTCCCCAAACCCACAATAAACATATGTACTGCTGAGTAGATGCTTGATTCCATTTGTTTGTGTCTACTGTAATTTTAAGGATTGCGTCAGTCAATACTTCTATTCATATTTGATCGTTGTAAATTACATTTCATTTGTCTACATGGAGTTTCAATTTTAATTATTTATGTTCCGCTGTTCTTTGAAAATATAGACCTCTTTGGAATTTATGCCACTTTCTAATGTCTTAATAATGTTGCAATAGATCTGTTCTTATCAGTTCTAAATTTGTTTCAGGCTCTTGATGCTGATGCCATGGACATGGAAATTGACCTGTCAAACCTGGGGACTGTCAATACAATGTTTGCTGCTTTGTTCAGGTAATACATTGTTAGATATATGTGTGGGTTTCTATTCATTGTCCTTTGATATTCATTTTATTTGTTTATAGCAAGTTGGGTGTTCCTATCAAGACGACAATTTCCGCCAATGTACTTGAAGAAGCTCTTAATGGTACAGTTACAGTCAAACCTCTCCCGATTGGAACTTCAGTTAGTGGAAAGGTGCTGTTTCTTTCGTATCACTATGAAACAATAGTGGATTTGGCGCATCTTTTACACATTTTGTGGTTTGCTGCAGGTGGAGAAACAGTGTGCTCACTTTTTTAGTGTAACAATCAATGAGCAACAAGCTGAATCTGGGATTGTAGTTAGAGTTACTTCAACTGCACAAAGCAAATTTAAGGTGCATATATATAATATATATTTATTTATTTTACTGAATTAGGTCCTTTTCTGCATCCTGTTGATGATGATGTACCTGAAGCATCTATCTTTGTGTTTTATGCACTCAATTTATCTGCTTTGTTAATATTACTCGGACAATACTTACATTTCAATCAAACCATTGTGATGTGCAGTTACTTTATTTTGAGCAAGATGCCAATGGCGGTTATGGTTTAGCCTTACAGGTACTTCATATTATTCTCCGATGCTTCTCCATCTCATTTCTTATTGATAATCATGTTTGAACTCCGCTGGAGTAAATTGCGTGAAATCATTTTAGATTTAAACATCAACGGTTGGCTTCTACTTGTCTGCTCTATAGTGTGCCGACAATACACCTGCACACACAACTTGAGCGAATCTAGTGATCACCAAACCTCCTTTGAACCTGTTATGAACAGTAATTTTAACCAGATGATGGTCTTGTCATGAACATTCTCCCCATGTTTGACTGAAGCAATGTATGTTCAAGTACGTAAAGCCTTTTAAGAAAACTTACGAGAAAAGAGAAACTTTGGAATAATACACCATCACTCTCTTTTTCTAAGATAGATAATATCGATAAAGTGTCACTCTGCATTATTCTTCTTTGCATTTTATCCAGACCAGTCTGTTGATTTCACGTCTAATTTATAAGCTATTTCAATTTTTGTGTGTTCTAATTTGCTTTGTTATAGCAAGTCACAATTCAATATTATATCATCGTTTCTTTTCCTTTCATGACTGGATTAGTATTAATTACTATGTATTTGTTTTGTCAATACCAGCCATGTTCTAACTCGTGGCACTTGCACGTGGATATTGTAAATATGAAGTTATTGCTTCTCTGTGCAGGAAGATAGTGAGAAGACAGGCAAAATAACATCTGCAGGGATGTATTTTCTGCATTTTCAAGTATACAGAATGGATTCCACTTTGAATGCGGTATGCAGGACATTGATTTGTCTCCTCTTAGAATTTGTTCCCTGCAGTTTCTGTATGGGCCTGAGAAGTGGTTATTTAGTAGATTTCTATTTATGGCTCAAAATGGTGTTGTATGTTTGTAATGGTGCAGTTGGCTATGGCAAAGGACCCTGAAGCTGCTTTTTTTAAGAGGTTGGAAGGTCTTCAACCCTGTGAGGTCTCACAACTAAAAGCTGGCACCCATATATTTGCTGTTTATGGTCTGAACTTTGATTTGGTCCCTTATTCTTTTGCTTTCTGGGGTTAACTCCGTCATAAATCATTGGTCATCCTGTTGTTTAACCTCCACTTACATTTCTTCAGGAGACAATTTTTTTAAGACTGCTACCTATACGATTGAGGCACTTTGTGTAAGGTCTTACGAGGATACGACGGAGAAGCTTAAAGAGATTGAGGTTCAGATTTTGAGAAAGAGAAATGAACTTCGTCAATTTGAGACAGAGTACAGGAAGGTATTGATCTGGATTTTCCTGGCTGTGGCTTTTAATAGGAATTGATCATGTTTGTCTTTAAAAGTTTTCTGCAATGTTATGTAGGCACTGCAACGCTTTCAAGAAGTGACCAACAGATACACCCAAGAAAAGCAATCTGTAAGTTTTGGTCGTGCATAGTTCTCATCATTTGTAACACACTGCTAAGCATGGATGCACGCACAAACATACTCATTATTAACGTGAAATTCTAAGTAGTACGCGTGAACTTCTTTTATGCTTATTTTCTTTACCGAGTCAAGATTCTAGGCCAGGTTTTGGGTATCAGTTAAAAGAAAAAAACCACAATGAAGTTTGATGGTAGTGTCTAAGCGGTATCCCAGATATCAATATGAGTAAAGCATTACTTTTAGAATAATTCGTAGCAGCCTTCCCCTCATCAGCACAATCTGTCGAGTACTTTCAGACTCCGTGATCTGATGTGGTTGGCTAGTAAAGTTCGCCCTCCCAGCCGGTCTGGTTTACCCAATCCTCACTAGCTGATCTGGTTTTAATAGAATTTGAGGGACTTAGTCTCTAGGTCTAAAGTTCACCCCTATTTGTTTTAATCAATGGAAGACTTTGTCGCTCTCATCTCATATCTAAAGTATCCCTCCCTTCCGTATTTATTTTCTGATTGGATCTTATCATTCTGCTTAATCAGGTAGATGAGCTGCTGAAACAGAGAGACAGTATCCATTCTTCTTTCACCATCACCAAGCCAAACAATATTATCGTGGGTGGTGGTAGTGGTACGACTAACGGTAGCACTAGCAAAAATTCTGGCGAGGATTCAAATGCGGAGAGCCCAATGGAAGACGGAGGTTCTGACGGGAAGGATAAGTCGGGTAAAAAGAAATGGTTCAATCTTAACCTCAAAGGATCAGATAAAAAACTTGGTTGAGAATCTGTCTGTGGATTATTTTTTATTATTTGAGATGTTTCAATATCCATTCGTGCTAATGCTTGCGCCGTTCGGTTGCATAGAGGCTTGTCTTGTATTGTCTTTTCTCTCATAGGTTGCCCCGTTGTTGTTCTTGGTGTCATATGTTGTAATTTTGCTTCTGTAAAACGTGCCAGTTAGAAAATGCATCTGTATAAATATCATAATGTTCGAGTTTCTCGTGAATTATCCATGTTTATGCACCATTTCATTTCAAACATAGTTCTGATGCCACAGATTTTCGGTTTTGCTCGTCTCATCTGATATTTTTCAATGTAACTGGCATACCATCACGTAGTATTAGTACCAATTCTCTTATTTTATACACGTCAATCTATTTATTAATATTATATCTTAATTCATGACACATGAACTCTCTCATTTCAATCATAACATGTTTTGTGTACAAACAAATACAATCATAAATTGAAATTTTCAACACCACAATATTCGTCCTTCTGGGGTTAATTCTCTCAATGGAGAATTGAGCATTCGATGTCATTTTTCGAGCAAATCAAGAGAAAAGGGAGAACCAGGCGTAGACAGGCCATCAAAGTATGGGAGTGCCACTATTGCTTTCATTGTTCTACTAGTGCAAGTCTCGCTTATGATGATGGGAATCCAGATCTCCATCTCCGGAAACATATGATGATAGGTAAAAATATTTCCAGTGCATATTGCAAGCCCATTGAGATTTGGAGAACGGCGTCGAGGAAGTAGTGGTCCATATGGGCTGTATGAGTTGCGAGGAAGAATTTGGGCCCTCTATTAGAATACCCACAATGGGAAGGAAAAATTTAATAAAAATTGCGTTTAATAATTTGTTTTCCATAAAAATTGTATATAGTAGAGATTATCTATCTCAGGTTGGGATGGGCACTTGAACACGAAAATCAAAACCGAAACACGAATTAAATTGAACCGCACCGAATGATTTGGTTTTGCGATTTCAAAACGATATTGGTTTGAAACCGAACCAAATGAAGGAAAAACGATTTGGTTTCGGTTTCAGTTTCAGTTTTGGCCATCTGAAGCCGCACTGAAACCGAAACCGCATAAATATATTAAATGTTAAATTCTAACTGGTTATTTCTTTGAGTCCATACATTTAGTATGGACTCAACCACATCATAACATGACCACATAATCTCTATCTTTTCTTTCTTCTAGTATGTACTGCTCAACTTTATTCATCTAAGATCTAACTCTCTCTCTCTCTCGGTCTCCGCTTCATACCAACTCCTAGCCTCTAGAGTTCAAGATGCTAATATGGTAAGAACTATGATTTATAATTTGTTTTAGTTGAATTTACTTATATATTTGAGAATTGAGATTGATTTTAGGGTTAAATTTAGGGTTGGGTTTTGAATCAAAAGGGGATTGGGATTTGATTTTGCATGTTTATGATTTTGAGTTCCGGCATGCCGATTCTGTGAAATTTATTGAAGTTTCCTATCCTTTTTAGCATTGGTTTCAATCTCCCCTCATATGTTCATTCACCTACTCTTGATTTTATTTCGATTTTGTAGTATGATTATGTTTCTATAACGAGGTATATGGATAAATGGTTCGTTTGATGATTTTGTTACTTCCTATCTTTTATGGTAGATTTTTCTTCAGATTTCATGCTATTCTTCGTTGTTTAATATGGATCTTTAGGTGGTTGTTTATGTGGTGAAATAATTAAATTATTCGAATTCTTTTGTTAGCTGGAAGTTCTAATTCTTTTTTGCATCCTGTAATATAATTGTGGCTTCTTTGATAATATGGTCGAGAATTACTATGTTCTGTAAACAACGATATCCATTGATGTTGTAATTTATATTTCCTGATAAGCGCACATTGTCAGACTTATTAGACACGTTAACTTGTTTGGAAATAAATCTGTTTAGCTGTAATGTCGATGAAATAGGATGCTTTTGTGCCCTGAGCTTGCTTTCATTTGCTGCATCCACTTTAGATGCGGCATATTCATGCCTTAATCCAGTTAAATTGAATGTCACTTAGTCATTAGATGTTTACGTTGTTTTTATTTGTCCTATATTTTGTACAGAGACACCCGGTACTCTGGTGGATTTGAAGTTTGTGTGCGTATGGACGTCAATTGCTAAATCTACGACCTCAAACTCTCTGTATGCTATGAAATCATAGGACGAAAATGATTCCCTTGACACTATCATCAGACAAGCTGCAGAAGAGCCATCTATTTCTTTCTCAAGGGCCGGGGATAGCCCAGTCCTGTGGATTCAGCTACTTCATGCCTTATGACATGCAAAATGAAAAACGAACATTAAATGTTGCTCATAAAAGAGAATTGAAGTGTATATAAAGGGAAAATGAAATGAGAATATCTCCAACTATTACAAGGATTTGAGGTGACCACAGGTTGCTTAGGACAATCTAAAACTCTTTTTTTTGAGGTTTTTAAAAAAATGAAACCGCACCATAACCGTTTAAAATCAAACCGAACCGAACCAAATGGTTTGGTTTCATTTCGATTTTAATCTCAAAACCGCACCGAATCAAACCGCAAAAACTTGCAGTTTTGGTTTTTGGTTTCACTCAAAACCGTACCAAACCGAACTGTGTTCACCCCTAGCATGGCATGTGAAAGGATATTTAGTCACATTATCTGTAAGGCACTTCTTACGTAAGTATAAGAGAGGATCTGATTTGTCAGATCCTCTTTGGGAGGATCCCAAGGATCCTCCAATCACATCCTTTCATCATACATCATGCGGTCAGTTTTCGTTAAATACTGTTTATATTCAATTTTAAATAAAAAAATTTACAATAATTTCTAACTACACGGTATACGATGAACGGATATGATTGGAGGATTCCTGAGATTCTCACAAAGAGAATCTAGTGAGGATCCTCTCTCACGTTAGTATGAGATTATCCGGCGTCACGATGGTCCGTCAAGTGTAAAAACTGACGTAATCAAGTGTTTTACCAAAATTTCTCTCAAATAACACACTAGCAAAGGGCCCACGGAGATTCTGAATCCAAGGCCCCTTCCGGCACAGTTCCTTGTTGCATGTAGTTGCAGAGTCTTGTCAATAACACTTGACACTTGTTAATATATAATTACTTCAATTAATTAACCAAAAGATTGGTTTAAAGTTTAAACAACCATGGAAAACGTAAATCTTTCCTTAAAATTAGGGACCACTAACATTAGTAAGCAGAGTCTTAGGTTATCTGCTGGTGGCCAAAAACCAGCCACCTCATGCAAACCTAATTAACAAACCAAGGATACTTTCAAACTCAATTCTTAATCAAGCCAAAAGTTTGTCTTGACCTATGCTTTCAATTCTACGGTGTAGAACTTCAGACAGATGCATCCACGTGGATCTTGTTTTTAAAGAGAGCTATGAGAGACAGATTCCTGCAGAATTCATGGGATTGTTTATCTGACTCAGTGTTCTTGTTTTAATTTTAAACAACGCATCATATGTACAATGTAGATTACTAAATGCTTAAACCCATTTTCTAAGACCAAGTCCCACATGCCGATAAAGATTATGGGTTCTTTGTACACACACACACCCCTTTATGCTAGATTCGTTCCCATGTTCGGTACAATAGGTTCTGAATAGTTGTCTCCTTGTTTTACTACATGTGATTAACACCCATGTCTGGTTTCAAGTCGTTCGTTGAACACTTAAATACAAAAATATAAATTTTTATGTATTTTCATTTCACTCGATCTTGAGTAGACATTTGTATTCGATGTGAGAATCGTCCTACTATTGAATATCAAAAATTAGGTTACAATAAAAAATTTGAGGAAAATATAGTGGTCATATTGACAACGTGGGTAGACTTGTTAGAATGCTAAGACCATCTTTAGTCAAGGGCTATAAGCCACATTTAGCTCTTAAATTGACAAAATTAGTCTACAACTAAAGGGCTAAATTGGAATTGAGCTAAAAGAATCAGTCTAAGTTGGCCCAGGATAAGCAACATGTAGTCCCATGACAGACTAAGTTTGGCACCAAAAAGTAATAAAATATGAAAGGGAATAAAATATAGTCATGCACGGTTGGAGATTGAAAAATTTAGTCCAAGTTTGTCTTGAAGATATTAAATTTTAGAGAGCTAAAACAACCAAAGACTACGTTTAGCCCTCCGCAACTGAAGATTTCCTCGGGACATTGAACTTGTGGAACTAGGTTGTGAGAAGTGATTCAGCAGAATCTAATGGAGAATTTTCAGATGTGTTTTTTGTCATGTCATGTGCAGGTGCCTCCCAGCTACATATGTTGTTTGGGTTATATGTTATTTGGGTGTGTTTTTAGTGTAGCCGTCTATGTCGCTCTCTCTCTCTCCCCCTCTCTCTCACTTTATTTAGCAAACAAACCACATTGATTTTGTCTCGTTTATTGACCAAAGTCCCTCTTCTCCAAACCCACTTCACGGACTTCCAATTAATGTATTTTTAAAACCCTAAAGTTTGATGGACTTCATGTAGCAATTCTCCCAATTATTTTTAACATATAAAACATTCTAGACTGTAATATCTAGGGTTTAGCTCTAATTAAGTTGGATTAGTTAATAATTGTATGTATTAGTTAAATAATCTAGAGAGAGAGAGAGAGAGAGAGAGTCACTTCACATGACTTAAAGCTAACTCCACCCAACCTTCACCCTTTTTCTATTAAAAAAGAAGTAGGCAGTGTCACTTGGAATACATGAAGAGTTTCATTAAGTCACCCATATTGTTTGGAATTTTCCCTAATTAAAAAAGCCCTAAACATATCCCTAAAAGGGATTTCCAACTTGAAAACTAAGTCACATTGGGTTATCCTTTTATCCTTTTTGGATCCTTCCAAAAGTAATGGTTGCAAAAAAGAAACAATTAAAGGTGATTAGAAGTTAATGGAGTTTTAACATGATATGGGATCATGTCTTAAATAATAATCTCTCTTGTTTATTTAATGGACGTTGTTTTCTCATTGGTTTGATTTTCTTTTTGTACAACTTGGCGGGGGCCATGCTCGAGATTTAGGCAATCTTAAAACGATAATATTGGCATCACTTCAATCAACAACAAAGCAAAAAAGCATGATTAAGGCCCTAAAATCTGTTTTATATTTAGATGGTGGAAACCATTCCAACATCAAGAACATGAAGAAACCCATTGTTAAGTAGACAGTTGTTAATTAATCAACATTAGTGATTGGACAATCCTCTCACCACCCCGACTACTTATTAACTTAAAACTCTTCTTCTTTGAGAAAGTGAGAGTTGCTCCTTGTAGGTCCAATGTCACAAAACTTGGAAATTGAGGTGGTCCCAAACGTGCCCTAATGTGCGCGGGCCCTAACCAGAGTTTGATCAACCACTTAGATGCAACTTCACATGCCTAACCCTCCATCAGTGGAGAAACCCTTGTGCCTATGTCACCCGTCCTACAACATTACATTATATTTTAGCTTCCAATTAAGCCACCGTTCGATCTCCCTCTTATGCAGCATGTTTGAGTTTGACCCATGTTTGAACTTTTTTATGTCCAAATGCTTTGGTATTTTTTTTTCTTTTTCAAAGGAACATAAAATGAGCTTTATTCAAGAAAATGAGCTTTTCTTTTCCTTTTATTTTGGATTCAATTCTCATAAAAAAAGAGTCTAAATCCTGTCTCCGAGTAAGCATTAAGAAAAAGAAATAGAAAAGTTCTTTTGGATAGAAAGACAGTTCACTTGCAAAGTTACAAGGTGAAGCCTACACACCCTAACTAGCTATATGAAATGAACTCTTCAACTTCGTAGTAAACATAGGACTTGTATCCCATCTGAATTTAAATTGTAGGGATCCTCACATCTTAACTATTTATCGTACATTGTGCGATCAGAAACTATTTTATTTTTTATTTAAAATTAAATATAGATAATATCTGACGAAAATTGATCACATGATGTATAATAAACGGTTAAACGATGAAAATCGTAAGAATCTTTTCAAAGGAAATTCGAAAAAAAATCTTCATCCGTAAAGATATGCACGTACATGAGAAGATCGCTTCGGGACGTACAAGGTGAGCCCCATATCGTGAGAACCGTAGCTGGTTGGCCTGGTTTTGCTAACCTTCCCTTCAAGTGTGACTCGAGACTCAAAGTGACAGATGAGTGAGAACGACCCAAAGGTCACAAAATCATTGGATCCAATTAATAAAGCGAAAAAGGTTGTTAGGTTTAATCAGTAGAAATCCATCATTTCAAACTAATTAGTGCAGAGATATTCCTAATCCCAAGTCCTAAATCGATGTGCATTAGTTTAATAATTCAGACCCCCCCTCCCAATATACTCTTCTATCTATGTTTCATGTTAGAGATTTCAGCATTATGGACCCACATAAACCATACAGGAATGGGCCATCACAAGTCTCAACTATCATCTCCAACCTGCTTGTATAAATTGACATGCCCTTTGGTGAAGGAATCATCTCGACCCTTGGCAAACGAAATGGGTTGCTTGTGGGGCCATTATTCAAATTATTCAATAATTAAACCCTCTATATCTTTTTCTTACTCTATAATTATTAGAAAACTAAATAATTGAAAAATATTATTTGATTAATAAAAACACTATCTAGTTATTAACTGTGATCAAACAAATAGGATGAACATTACAATAATCATGATGATAATTGAATTGTTTGAAATTTTTTACAAGAATAATCCGTAAAAGTAACATCCTCCCTATAAACAAAATGAAGTCTAAATATTTGCCTAAAGGGTGAATAAATTAAATATACATCGATCAACCATTCATGATGGAGTGATTGACTTTTGTTTACCTAAATATTGCATATCTAGGTCATACTTAAGCTTTGTAATGGATCAAAGAAACCGCCTCTTGTTTTGTGGTTAGTATAAGTAATCATGATTATCCAGACCACAAAACAAAAACACACATGATTAATTGTGAAATCTAACGGTCGAAAAAGAATGCAAGCTTTCACTCGGAAGGTGATCCAGATGATGATGGGGATCCGATTTCTTGTATGGGAAAACTTGACTAAGGAAATAGGAAAGAAGAGAAAGAGGAGACAAGGTGGGTCAGGTTTGGAGTTGTGACGAAGACTTATTAGGGTTAGGGTTCAGGGGCTGCTTTCGAAAATAATATATATTAATCCCACATTAAGCAAACTTTATGCTCTTGAAGTGGGAGATTACGAAAGCCAACTTCTTGTCTCTCTTGATTTTCTCTCGTAGTTAGTAAGATTCGCAGAGATCTCTCGCAAAGAAAAAGTAAATCACATTCATTAATTATTCATTTGATTAATTTATATGGATTTCAAACGTCAATCACGCAAACATCCCAAACCACTACCGATCATCAACACGTAATGGTGGAGTCCGTG